AAAGCTTTAAATGGCTAAAATCGTCTGAAAACAAAGATTTCAACTCAAAAAAAAGCTAACACAACAGCACACTTCAAACTGTCATTTACTATTCAAAGTGTAATAGATCAGCTTAAATAGATTTCGCCGTAGTTTTTTTCGTTGTATTTTCATGAGAGTAGTTTGTTAAAGTTTTTCCAACTGAATAGTTTCACTATATGTCTATTGAGTGTTATTGACTTTAATTGAAGAGATCTCGCTATTTGGAATATTTTAGCTGGTTTAGTGGTTTAAACATGCTAACAATTAATGTTTTATTATGCTAAATTGATTTTTAATTACATTTCAAGTTTAATGAGTTTAATGAGCAAAAGAAGTGTCTGAGCATAAGAATTTGTGAGACGTAAAAAGACTAACAATTTTAAATTTAAATAAATGATCGTTTAGGTTTGTAAGATCAAAAGCTTAGTGGTTGCAATAATTTAAAATCAACTAATAAAGTTTAAAGTAATAAACTAACCAAAGTCAAAAGTTCATTTAAAAACATTAAAAAGATTCCTAAACACTATTTCAATATAGTATTTTGCACAGTGCAGTTAGAGATGGGAAAATATTGATTTAATAACAAACGTTATTGAAAGCTAACAGTAAGCTAGAGAGGTGAGTTCAAAACTTAATAGTAGTGGTGACAAAATACTTAACCAATCTTTAATCATTAATGTAAATATTCTTAAATATCATTTAAACGAATGTTGTTAAAAATTCCTTTATCCCCCAGACAAATTTGCCATTAAAAACCCCAATAATAGGCAACTTTTAATTAAGTGGCAATACCTGTAATCTATGGTGTAATTTTTCAATAATTGTTAAACAAAATTGTAAAAATATTAAGCTTAAGTTACCTAGAAGTTGTTAACTCTTGAAGAAGTGAATGTCTTCTAAATGCTTAGACCCCATAAATGCTGCCAACAGAGGCAAGCAGCACTAAATGGCAACAACACTATTGCCCCAATTATTTTTTTTTTGTTTTGTTGTTTGGCAAACAACAAAAACTTAAAAACAATAATAAAATAAAATTGTTTATACAAGTCCATTAAACATATCTATATACTATTATAGGAATAAGAAGTCTGTTTGAGAAAAAAAAATGTGCAAAAAAACATTTATGGTAAATACGGTTAGAAAACTTCATGAGTGAAAAAACAGGATTGTGTAGCCACTACCACTACTAACTGTTCGGCTCTTAAGTAGGAAGAAGACAAGCTGTAGTAAGTAACTTTTATATTTATTGACTAATTTGGCTTTAGAAAAACTAGCTAGAGAAGAAGTAGAAAAAAAAAACAAATAAACTAAACTAAACCGATTATTAAATCAACTTTTTATTATACCAAATAATGGTTTAAGAGATTTTCTTTAAAGTAAAATAAATATTGTATTTGAATACAAATTGTTAGTTTATGAATAAGCGCAATTTTGAATTTCAATGAGGGTAAGTTTTAAAAATAGACCATTTGAGAACAGGCATCAGTAGAAAGCGACTGTGAGTGACTTTAAACGTACATAAGCTCAAACTTAAAAAAAACGGACTCAATCGGAAAGTTCTTTTTCAATATCTTCTTATGCCTAACTTGCGAAAGCAAGAATGCTTCACAGAGTACTCTTTACTGATATCGGATATCTATATATATCAGCTTTCACGCTCTTTCTCATACAAAAACAGAGAGCTCAGATGTTATTTTCCGGTGAATCGCAGAAGGCGAATAGTTCTCTCTATAATGCATTTAGCATTTCGATATGACTTCTTCTTCTAGAACGGAACTAAACCAGAACTAGACCAAAAGCAGATCAGAACTAGAGCAGAACTAAAACAGAACTAGAACTGAACTAGAACAGAACTAGAACTAGAACAGAACTAGAACAGAACTAGAACAGAACTAGAACAAAACTAGAACAGAACTAGAACAGAACTAGAACAGAACTAGAACAGAACTAGAACAGAACTAGAACAGAAATAGAACAGAACTAGAACAGAACTAGAACAGAACTAGAACAGAACTAGAACAGAACAGAACTAGAACAGAACTAGAACAGAACTAGAACAGAACTAGAACAGAACTAGAACAGAACTAGAACAGAGAACTAGAACAGAAACTAGAACAGAACTAGAACAGAACTAGAACAGAACTAGAACAGAACTAGAACAGAATAGACAGAACTAGAACTAGAACAGAACTAGAACTAGAACAGAACTAGAACAGAACTAGAACAGAAACTAGAACAGAACTAGAACAGAACTAGAACAGGAACTTAGAACAGAACTAGAACAGAACTTAGAACAGAACTAGAACAGAACTAGAACAGAACTAGAACAGAACTAGAACAGAACTAGAACAGAACTAGAACAGAACTAGAACAGAACTAGAACAGAACTAGAACAGAACTAGAACAGAACTAGAACAGAACTAGAACAGAACTAGAACTAGAACAGAACTAGAACAGAACTAGAACACCAACTAGAACAGAACTAGAACAGAAACTAGAACAGAACTAGACAGAACTAGAACAGAACTAGAACAGAACTAGAACAGAACTAGAACAGAACTAGAACAGATCTAGAACCGAACTAGAAAAACTAGAACAGAACTAGAACAGACTAGAACAGAACTAGAAACAGAACTAGAACAGAACTAGAACAGAACTAGAACAGAAACTAGAAACAGAACTAGAACAGAACTAGAACAGAACTAGAACAGAACTAGAACAGAACTAGAACAGAACTAGAAACAGAACTAGAACAGAACTAGAACAGAACTAGAACAGAACTAGAACAGAACTAGAACAGAACTAGAAAACAGAACTAGAAGAACAGAACTAGAACAGAACTAGACCAGAACTAGAACAGAACTAGAACAGACTACTAGAACAGAACTAGAACAGAACTAGAACAGAACTAGAAACAGAACTAGAACAGAACTAGAACAGAACTAGAACAGAACTAGAACAGAACTAGAACAGAACTAGAAACAGAACTAGAACTAGAAAACTAGAACAGAACTAGAACAGAACTAGAACAGAACTAGAACAGAACTAGAACAGAACTAGAACAGAACTAGAACAGAACTAGAACAGAACTAGAACAGAACTAGAACAGCACTAGAACAGAACTAGAACAGAACTAGAACAGAACTAGAACAGAAACTAGAACAGAACTAGAACAGAACTAGAACAGAACTAGAACAGAACTAGAACGAGAACTAGAACTGAACTAGAGCTGAACTAGAACTAGAACTAAACAGAACTAAACAGAACTAAAACTAGAACTAGAACAGAACTGAAACGAACTAAAACAGAACTGATGAACAGAACTTGAACAGAACTAAAACGAGAACTAGAACAGAACTAGTACAGAACTAGAAAGAGAACTAGAACAGAACTAGTAACAGAACTAGAACAGAACTAGAACAGAACTAGAACAGAACTAGAACAGAACTAGTAACAGAACTAGAACAGAACTAGAACAGAACTAGAACAGAACTAGAACAGAACTAGAACAGAACTAGAACAGAACTAGAACAGAACTAGAACAGAACTAGAACAGAACTAGAACAGAACTAGAACAGAACTAGAACAGAACTAGAACAGAACTAGAACAGAACTAGAAGAGAACTAGAACAGAACTAGAACAGAACTAGAACTAGAACAGAACTAGAACAGAACAGAACAGAACAGAAACAGAACAGAACAGAACAGAACAGAACAGAACTAGAACAGAACTAGAACAGAGAACTAGAACAGAACTAGAACAGAACTAGAACAGAACTAGAACAGAACTAGAACAGAACTAGAACAGAACTAGAACAGAACTAGAACAGAACTAGAACAGAACTAGAACAGAACTAGAACAGAACTAGAACAGAACTAGAACAGAACTAGAACAGAACTAGAACAGAACTAGAACAGAACTAGAACAGAACTAGAAACAGAACTAGAACATAACTAGAACAGAACTAGAACAGAACTAGAACAGAACTAGAACAGAACTAGAACAGATCTAGAACAGATCTAGAACAGAACTAGAACAGAACTAGAACAGAACTAGAACAGAACTAGAACAGAACTAGAACAGAACTAGAACAGAACTAGAACAGAACTAGAACAGAACTAGAACAGAACTAGAACAGAACTAGAACAGAACTAGAACAGAACTAGAACAGAACTAGAACATAACTAGAACAGAACTAGAACAGAACTAGAACATAACTAGAACAGAACTAGAACAGAACTAGAACAGAACTAGAACTTTTGATCGAACACAAGTCGCGTAGAGAGAGATATTCACAAGCAGTGATAGCCTGAGTGCAGGGATTTGATTTTTAAAGATCATACTTGATAGGAGAATAAAGCTTCATATGTACGTTCTATAGCTCCTTTATGTTTGGATCCCAAATACTCTTCCAAGGCTTGAAAGTGGCAGTAACTTTTACTTTTTAAAAATCTCTAACAACTAAACTTTTAACTTAACCTAATAGACTTGCAATCTTTCAAAAGCTACTAATGATCATGCTTCTGCTTCATTTAGTTGTCTAACAAATTTAAGTTGTAATAGCAAAATCATTACAACATTAATACAACCTACAAAAACAATATTTTAAAAAATTTAGTTTCTTAATTGTAAATATATTTCAAATTGCATTAATTAAACTTAAATCTCTAAAGATTTAAACAAAGTACAATTATAAATGACAACCACAATTACCACTAAAAACATCAAACATTACAAAAACAAAAAAAGCTTTAAATATGCTTTTGTTTTTTACAAGCTTTTTGTTTTTTTAAATTGCAAGTTGTATTATGTATAAATTATGCATTCATTGCATGTGGTATTCCCCTTCTTCGTAAACATATGATACCTATACTCTACATAAAAAATCGTATAAACTTTTTTTGGTTAAAGTTTTTATACTTTTAATAAAAAACTATTGCATATAGTAGTCGTATGAAAAAAACAAGACTTTACTCACCTGCATGTATCTAGCCAAAGCGGCTGCATTTGTACGTTGCACTTGTGATCTCAACTGAGGCTGTGGTGAGCCCAGAGGGCTTACAATCGTTGATGTTGAACCACCAATGCCCGTGTCATAGCCTTGGGCATTGCTGCAATCGACATCTGGAAAAAAAATACAATAAAAAAGAGAATGAATAACATTATACATACATATTTATTTGTAATAAAAATAAAAAAGTTTTAAATAAAATTGTTTAACAAACAGAGAAAAAACTAGTAAACTTTAAGTCGTATGCAAAAGAAATACGTTTATATGACAAGAATAATTGTTAATTGCTAACAAATATCAAATGTTAATGTAAATTTATATAAAAATTTAAATTTAAAGAAAAAAAGCCACCGGCTGAAATCGAGAAGCTAATAAAGGATAGTAATATTTACGTTTGTACACTGAGAGAAAGGAATGTTTGGATTGATAACTTTTGGTTAAATAGAGGGAGTATGCCAGTAGGGAGAATTGGAGGCTATCGCCAAATTAAGCATAGATTATGTTAAAAACACAGATTGCAATTAGAGAGAAATGTGTAGGGAAAGAGAAAGTGAGCGATTTTGATTAATTGTCGAAAATCCTTTTAATGAACTATATTAGAACTAGAACTGGACTATAATTAAACTAGAACTGATCTAGAACTGAACTAAACTAGATCTGAACTAGAATTGCACCAGAACTAGAACAGATCTAGAATAGAACTGGAACAGAACTAGAACAGAACTAGAATAGAACTAGAACTGAACTAGAACTGAACTAGAACTGAACTAGAACTAAACTAGAACTGAAGTAGCACTGAACTAGAACTGAACTGAACTAGAACTGAACTAGAACTGAACTAGAACTGAACTAGAACTGAACTAGAACTGAACTAGAACTGAACTAGAACTGAACTAGAACTGAACTAGAACTGAACTAGAACTGAACTAGAACTGAACTAGAACTGAACTAGAACTGAACTAGAACTGAACTAGAACTGAACTAGAACTGAACTAGAACTGAACTAGAACTGAACTAGAACTGAACTAGAACTGAACTAGAACTGAACTAGAACTGAACTAGAACTGAACTGAACTAGAACTGAACTAGAACTGAACTAGAACTGAACTAGAACTGAACTAGACTGACCTAGAACTGAACTAGAACTGAACTAGAACTGAACTAGAACTGAACTAGAACTGAACTAGAACTGAACTAGAACTGAACTAGAACTGAACTAGAACTGAACTAGAACTGAACTAGAACTGAACTAGAACTGAACTAGAACTGAACTAGAACTGAACTAGAACCGAACTAGAACTGAACTAGAACTGAACTAGAACTGAACTAGAACTGAACTAGAACTGAACTAGAACAGAACTAGAACTGAACTAGAACAGAACAGGACAGAACTAGAACAGTACTGGAACAAAACTGGAACAGAACTAGAACAGATCTAGAACAGATCTAGAACAGAATTAGAACAGAATTAGAACAGAATTAGAACAGAACAGAATTAGAACAGAACAGAACTAGAACAGAACAGAACTAGAACAGAACTAGAACAGAACTAGAACAGAACTAGAACAGAACTAGAACAGAACTAGAACAGAACTAGAACAGAACTAGAACAGAACTAGAACAGAACTAGAACAGAACTAGAACAGAACTAGAACAGAACTAGAACAGAACAGAACTAGAACAGAATTAGAACAGAACTAGAACAGAACTAGAACAGAACTAGAACAGAACTAGAACAGAACTAGAACAGAACTAGAACAGAACTAGGACAGAAATAGAATAGAAATAGAATAGAAATAGAACTGAACTAGAACAGAACTAGAACAGAACTAGAACTGAACTAGAACTGAACTAGAACTGAACTAGAACTGAACTAGAACTGAACTAGAATAGAACTGAACTAGAACTGAACTAGAACTGAACTAGAACAGAACTAGAACAGAATAGAACTAGAACTAGAACAGAACTGGAACAAAACTAGAATAGAACTAGAACAGATCTAGAACAGAACTAGAACAGAACTAGAAAAGAACTAGAATGCAATTTGGACAAAACTAGAAGAGAACTAGAACAAAATTTGAACACAACTGTAACAGAACTAGAACAGAACTAGAACAGAACTAGAACAGAACAGAACTAGAACAGAACTAGAACAGAACTAGAACAGAACTAGAACAGAACTATAACAGAACTAGAACAGAAATAGAATAGAACTGGAACAGGACTAGAAAAGAACTAGAATGCACGAGAACAGAACTAGAATGCACGAGAACAGAACTATAACAGAACTAGAACAGAACTAGAACAGAACTATAACAGAACTAGAACAGAACTAGAACAGAACTAGAACAGAACTAGAACAGAACTAGAACAGAACTAGAACAGAACTAGAACAGAACTAGAACAGAACTAGAACAGAACTAGAACTAGAACAAAACTAGAACAGAACTAGTTTTAGTCTAGGACTTAACTAGAATTGATGTACAATGAAGCACTTATTTCTCTCAGTGTTAACAGTTGTAGTCAATTAGTTATTATTGGTAACACTAATTCACATACGTTTGCACACAGTTGTCTTTTTCTATCGAGTTTTTTTCCTAAACTCATAACTAATTGCACTTTGGCATCACTTGCCAAACAAATAAATGGCAGTTAGTTTTGAAAAATATGCAATTTTTGTGACTTGAGTTACCTCGTAATACACTTAAATCGTTACGATATTTTATGTAGTAGAAAAAACAAAAAGAAAAAAACACAAATAAAACGTAAAAATGCAAATTTTTCCATAATATGCAAAATAATAATAAAAAGCAAAAAAACAAACTCCATATAGTATTCAATTACACAATAAAAAAATCTTAACAAGCGATCTTTTGGAAAAACCTTCTAACACTTTAATGATTTACCATGGCCTTTTACAAGCAAAAAAACATATTGGAAATCTACCACACATTGTTATTATACATACATACGTAAGATTTTGAAAATAAGTTACACCTCAGGCTTTATTAACAGCCTTAATAGTTTGCTGTGAATAACACAAATTTATTCAGAAGTAAATAGAGTTTTGTTGTTATTTTAAATACTTAAAATGCAAAACAAAATACTTTTGTTTGAAATAAATTGTTTGTTGTTTGCATTTTATGCAAATTTGCCTTATGTATTTAAAATTGTTAAATAAATTGTTTTTTAATGTTTTTAGTTTTAAGTTTTGTTTAAATTATGTGTGAATTTACTGGGATTTTTGTATAGAATTGTTTTTTCTCGCTTTAAATGCTACAATTTTTAAACAAGTGTTGTTTGTATCTACTATTTTTGTATTCTTATTAGTGGAGTTAACTAAGAATTCAAATGACCTTTATTACTTGATTTATTTATATTTTTGCATGTATAATGTAAATAAATATTTATTTTTCTATAAATAACAAAATTATTTAATTTACCATAAATTAGGGTTGTAATATTTGCTACGTTCTAGTATAAAGTTTCAATTGTAATGAAGCAGGTAGTATGGCTAAATTCATACAAACAATGTACAAATCTAGATCAGAGATGGGCGCACTCATACTTATTTCCACAGAACTGTTAGTAGAGTAAACGACAATGTATGCCAAACTACATCTAGTAACTATTATTCAATTGTTATTTTATAAAAAATTACCCAACACTGTTTTAAATGGAATATTTTGTTTAATCTAGATAAATATCGTTAATTTTATGTCGGTATTTTGTTTAATTTATTTATAAAAGTTTGTAATTATTGAGGTAGAAGTGTTAAATACAAATTGTTGTTACCGATTTTTTCTTTGTTTCGAATATATTAGAGGTAATCATTAATTATCGGTTATTAGACATTCTGTACACGTTAATTTATTTATATAAAAAACTAATACTTATTAACATAATTGACAATAAATTTGCTCAGACATTTACTAATTGTTGTTATAATTTGTATATAAAAGCAAAATAATAGATGGAATAAGTCTATTTTCAAGAATTTGCTATTTTGCGGAAATGAAATGAACTAGAACTAAAAAACAGAACTAGAACTAAAAACAGAACTAGAACTAAAAACAGAACTAGAACAGAACTAGAACAGAACTAGAACAGAACTAGAACAGAACTAGAACAGAACTAGAACAGAACTAAAACAGAACTAGAACAGAACTAGAACAGAACTAGAACAGAACAAGAACAGAACTAGAACAGAACTAGAACAGAACTAGAACAGAACTAGAACAGAACTAGAACAGAACTAGAACAGAACAGAACTAGAACAGAACTAGAACAGAACTAGAACAGAACTAGAACAGAACTAGAACATAACTAGAACAGAACTAGAACAGAACTAGAACAGAACTAGAACAGAACTAGAACAGAACTAGAACAGAACTAGAACATAACTAGAACATAACTAGAACAGAACTAGAACAGAACTAGAACAGAACTAGAACTGAACTAGAACTGAACAAAAACTGATCTATAACTGATCTATAACTGAACTAGAACTGAACTAAAACTGAACTAGAACTGAACTAGAACCGAACAAGAACTGAACTAGAACTGAATTAGAACTGAACTAGAACTGAACTGGAATAGAACTAGAACAGAACTAGAACAGAACTAGAACAGAACTAGAACTAGAACAGAACTAGAACAGAACTAGAAAAGAACTAGAAAAGAACTAGAACAGAACTAGAACAGAACTAGAACAGAACTAGAACAGAACTAGAACAGAACTAGAACAGAACTAGAACAGAACTAGAACAGAACTAGAACAGAACTAGAACAGAACTAGAACAGCACTGGAACAGAACTAGAACAGAACTAGAACAGATCTAGAACAGAACTAGAACAGAACTAGAACAGAACTAGAACAGAACTAGAACAGAACTAGAACAGAACTAGAACTGAACTAGAACTGAACTAGAACAGAACTAGAACAGAACTAGAACAGAACTAGAACAGAACTAGAACAGAACTAGAACAGAACTAGAACAGAACTAGAACAGAACTAGAACAGAACTAGAACAGAACTAGAACAGAACTAGAACAGAACTAGAACAGAACTAGAACAGAACTAGAACAGAACTAGAACAGAACTAGAACAGAACTAGAACAGAACTAGAACAGAACTAGAACAGAACTAGAACAGAACTAGAACTGAAATGAACTAGAAGAGAACTAGAACAGAACTAAAACAGAATAGAACAGAACTAGAACAGAACTAGAACAGAACTAGAACAGAACTAGAACAGAACTAGAACAGAACTAGAACAGAACTAGAACAGAACTAGAACAGAACTAGAACAGAACTAGAACAGAACTAGAACAGAACTAGAACAGAACTAGAACAGAACTAGAACAGAACTAGAACAGAACTAGAACAGAACTAGAACAGAACTAGAACAGAACTAGAACAGAACTAGAACAGAACTATAACAGAACTAGAACAGAACAGAACAGAACTAGAACTGAAATGAACTAGAACAGAACTAGAACTAGAACTGAACTAGAACTGAACTAGAACTGAACTAGAACAGAACTAGAACAGAACTAGAACTGAAATAGAACAGAACTAGAACAGAACTAGAACAGAACTAGAACAGAACTAGAACAGAACTAGAACAGAACTAGAACAGAACTAGAACAGAACTAGAACAGAACTAGAACAGAACTAGAACAGAACTAGACAGAACTAGACAGAACTAGAACAGAACTAGAACAGAACTAGAACTAGAACAGAACTAGAACAGAACTAGAACAGAACTAGAACAGAACTAGAACAGAACTAGAACAGAACTAGAACAGAACTAGAACAGAACTAGAACAGAACTAGAACAGAACTAGAACTTAACTTGAACTGAACTAGTACTGAACTAGTACTGAACTAGTACTGAACTAGAACCGAACTAGAACTAAACTAGTACTGAACGAGAACCGAACTAGAGCTGGACTCAAAACGCAAAGAAAAAAAATTATGCGTTTTTATTGATTCTTTTCATATGAATTTAATATTAACCCAATATTTCTGTTTAAACACCTCAAAACTAATTAAAATTAATTTCAACTGTTGATCTATGATTATTCTTAGGAAAAAAACACTCCTTTCCAAACCTCCATTAAACTATAAAATTTCAATTAAAATTCTTTAAAAAAACACTACAACAGTAGCACTGCTACTGTTTGCTACAAATCTCGCATTCTTTTTACTCACCTTTTAGCGAACTATTCATGCACATCGGACACTGATCGTTGCGGAACATACAGGAATAGCAACGTTCATGACCACAAGTATCGATTAGTTTTCGTCGTTTACCTTTGTCGAATGAAATGCGACAACTGGGACAAACCGAACCGCTGGTATCATGTTCCAATAAACGGCGTATAGATTGCAAATCTAAAAATAAACAAAACAACAACACATTTTATTATTAGTTTTTTTTATTTCAATTAATTTAACATAAAACTTAATTTATTAAGCAAGATATTTCTTTATAATATTCTATTAATTGAAAATACCAAAAAATTAGCATAATTTAAGATCTTCTTCTTCGTTTTTTAGACTTGCAACAAGTCTATAAAATTTATGCGTTCACACACTCACGTTTTATGTAGGCGCGCACACACAATGTGAATAATTAATTTCAAATTAGCATTTTATTTTGAGAAAATAAAACAACAACTTAACTTTGTGTTTTTTCACAGACTAAAGCGTGAAATAACCTAAAATAGATAGTATTAAAATAACTATAGACAGATAGTTAGTTATGCTTTATAATGTTAGGTATTCCAAAAAAAGTTTGTAGCGCCTTTTGGAAACCGTACATTATGTTTTTGCCTTATTAGTTAAATACTTTTTATAATTGAATATTGTGGCAAATTTCCCCTTAAGGAATATAATATATTTCAATTTAATTTGTTTTTAACACGCTTTTATTTTGTAATTATTCAAAAAAAATTAATTAAGTAAACGAACTAGAAATTTTGCGTTATTTTCTGCTGGCTGCTAAAATAATAGTTATTAGAGGAATTAATTATGCCCGTGTGTAAATTATAAAGAGAGGAAAATTTTCATAAAATAATTTATCGCAGAGTTCCTAAACACTACTCTGTTCTATTCGAAATTAATAATTTTTTTACAATTCCAAACTGTCAAAATTACTTTATAAACTTAATTAGAACCGAAATAAAACGGAACTTATACTGATCAAGAATTCATCTACAACATAACTAGAACAGAGCTAGGACAGAACTAGAACAGAACTAGAACAGAACTAGAACAGAACTAGAAGAGATCTAGAAGAGAACTAGAACAGAACTAGAACAGAACTAGAACAAAACTAGAACAAAACTAGAACAGAACTAGAACATAACTAGAACATAACTAGAACATAACTAGAACAGAACTAGAACAGAACTAGAACAGAACTAGAACAGAACTAGAACAGAACTAGAACAGAACTAGAACAGAACTAGAACAGAACTAGAACAGAACTAGAACAGAACTAGAACAGAACTAGAACAGAACTAGAAGAGAACTAGAACAGAACTAGAACAGAACTAGAACAGAACTAGAACAGAACTAGAAGAGATCTAGAAGAGAACTAGAACAGAACTAGAACAGAACTAGAACAAAACTAGAACAAAACTAGAACAGAACTAGAACATAACTAGAACATAACTAGAACATAACTAGAACATAACTAGAACAGAACTAGAACAGAACTAGAACATAACTAGAACAGAACTAGAACAGAACTAGAACAGAACTAGAACAGAACCAGAACTGAACTAGAACAGAACTAGAACAGAACTAGAACAGAACTAGAACAGAACTAGAACAGAACTAGAACTGAACTAGAACTGAACTAGAACTGAACTACAACAGAGTTAGAACAGAACTACAACAGAGTTAGAACTGAACTAGAACTGAACTAGAACTGAACTACAACAGAGTTAGAACTGAACTAGAACTGAACTAGAACTAGAACTGAACTAGAACTGAACTAGAACTGAACTGAACTAGAACTGAACTAGAACTGAACTAGAACTAGAACTGAACTAGAACTGAACTAGAACTGAACTGAATAGAACTGAACTAGAACTGAACTAGAACTGAACTAGAACTGAACTAGAACTGAACTAGAACTGAACTAGAACTGAACTAGAACTGAACTAGAACTGAACTAGAACTGAACTAGAACTGAACTAGAACTGAACTAGAACTGAACTAGAACTGAACTAGAACTGAACTAGAACTGAACTAGAACTGAACTAGAACTGAACTAGAACTGAACTAGAACTGAACTAGAACTGAACTAGAACTGAACTAGAACTGAACTAGAACTGAACTAGAACTGAACTAGAACTGAACTAGAACTGAACTAGAACTGAACTAGAACTGAACTAGAACTGAACTAGAACAGGACTAGAACAGGACTAGAACAGAACTAGAACAGAACTAGAACAGAACTAGAACAGAACTAGAACTGTACTAGAACTGAACTAGAACTGAACTAGAACTGAACTAGAACAGAACTAGAACAGAACTAGAACAGAACTAGAACAGAACTAGAACAGAACTAGAACAGAATTAGAACGGAACTAGAACAGAACTAGAACAGAACTAGAATAGAACTAGAATACAAATAGAACAGAACTAGAACAGAACTAGAACAGAACTAGAACAGAACTAGAACAGAACTAGAACAGAACTGGAACAGAACTAGAACAGAACTAGAACAGAACTAGAACAGAACTAGAACAGAACAAGAACAGAACTAGAACAGAACTAGAACATAACTAGAACAGAACCAGAACAGAACTAGAACAGAACTGGAACAGAACTAGAACAGGACTAGAACAGAACTAGAACAGAACTAGAACAGAACTAGAACAGAACTAGAACAGAACTAGAACAGAACTAGAACAGAACTAGAACAGAACTAGAACCGTACTAGAACTGAACTAGAACAGAACTAGAACAGAACTAGAACAGAACTAGAACAGAACTAGAACAGAACTAGAACAGAACTAGAACAGAACTAGAACAAATCTAGAACAGAACTAGAACAGAACTAGAACAGAACTAGAACTGAACTAGAACTGAACTAGAACTGAACTAGAACTGAACTAGAACTGAACTAGAACTGAACTAGAACTGAACTAGAACTGAACTAGAACTGAACTAGAACTGAACTAGAACTGAACTAGAACTGAACTAGAACTGAACTAGAACTGAACTAGAACTGAACTAGAACTGAACTAGAACTGAACTAGAACTGAACTAGAACTGAACTAGAACTGAACTAGAACTGAACTAGAACTAGAACTGAACTAGAACTGAACTAGAACTGAATTAGAACTGAACTAGAACTGAACTAGAACTAGAATTGAACTGAACTAGATCTAGAACTTAACTAGAAATGATCTGAACTAGAACTAGGGGATTTCGGATTAAAAACAGACAAAAGTCGAACTTTGTATTAGCACACTACCGACTATGTAATGAAGGTATTTACATTAAAGTTAAAAAGTTGTAAATTCTAACTTTTTCTGTAGGGTATCCATACCGGTGTCTACTCTACTTAGCTATTCTCTTTGTTAGGCAATCATTTTTCTACGTGAACACTCGTAATTTAAGAATATGTCGTTAATTATTGTCAACTTTTGCACGTCCACTCGCGCCGTGTTCTGCTACTCTAAAGAATCAGAAAAAAAAGAAACATTTAACACATGGATATGATCAGAAAAACCATCAGACAATCGATCTTATGCAGATCTTGTTTTTTTACACATTGTAATTTTTGTTTCTACTACGTAAGTACTATTCGAATGCAAGTGTGGGTAGTTTGAAAAACAGATGATATTAAATTGCCAACAGTCCGAACGTTTGTACTTGTAACTCATTCACCACATTTTAACCTGTTTAGTTAACAAGTTTGTTGTTGCTAAACAAAACTTCTACATCCAAGATCCAAGCAAAAAAGATCTTTACAAAGTTTAGTGTTACCAACCAACAGCAGTTGCTGGTTAAACGAGGTTTTAACGTTCACAGTTTGTTATTTATGTGGGTTGTAAGTTTTACGTTTGTATATTTTAACTATTGTTTATTTATATTTTTAGTTATTATAGTTTTTTATCATTGTTTATATAGAATTTATCTTTGTAATAAATAGCTTTTAAGGGAAAAATTATACTTTATTAAAATTAATTTACATTAATTAAATAATAGATTATCTAAGAGATTAAACTAAATCAATAGAAAATTTTCTTTAATATGTTAAGCATGGCAACGCGCAATTTGCATTAACCTCGAAAATTTTAATTAAATTTTTGAATTAAATAGAAGAAAACCAAAAACTATGCCTTTACCCAAAACATGTCTGGAATATGTAGGTAGCCAGTTCTTACACAAAAAACACCTTTTTATAAAAAACAAATCCAAAATTATTTTGCTTTTTTCCCAAATTTGAGTGGGTTTTTATGCGAAAATAATACCAGCACAAGACGTGCAACGTCCGGTGCACTCAAAACTTTTGAGTGAGTGTTATAAATTGTAAAAATATTCGGAAATGTAAAATACTTATGTAAAGTTAACAAAATCCTTTGTTATTTAAAATAACTAATACAAATTTTTGAGTGTATTTGAAAAAATCCATGCAATTTTTTCCAATTTTTTTGCGTGTGGGTTGTAGACCACGATTTTTTTCATAACATTTTACAATTGAGGTATAAAAAAAAACACAACCCAGAACCACGACATAAAGTCTGGCAGTGAACATTACAACAACAATTGTATTTGTAGTTGCTTTGCTTTTTTTCAAAAATGTTTTAATGCGGGATTATTATTCATTATTATTTTGCATTTTCAACACAATAATATTGAAAACTATGTTAAAAAATATATTCTATATATTAAATGTGAGGAAGTGGGACTGTTTTATGAATAGTTTTGTGCTTTTAACTTTATGAGTTTTTAAATGCATTGTTAGTCTAAAGTTTTTTAAATGCAGTCATTTGTATTAAGGGTTAAAAGTAATGAATAATAAAAAAATCAGCAACGGAAGTATTTACAACATGCGAATGAAACGCGTAATTATTAAAAAAAGGTTTAAATCAGTAGTTGAAAAAACTCATTGATTTTAGAGATAATTTTATAAAACTGAATAAAAAATGACTTGAACTTTTAACGTCACGAACTTAGAAACAATAATGATATGATTCAATTTGATTAAAATAGGGTTCGTTTAGTTTGAAGATTTTAGATTGTAGAGTTTAAAGATCAATTAACCTTCTAAAGCAGTAGAGAAGCACTGCCTAGAAAGGCATATTATTGCGCTAGAACCGAACTAGAACAGAACTAGAACTGAACTAGAACTGAACTATAACTGAACT